GGTTTGGTTTGGTTTGGTTTGGTTTGGTTTGGTTTGGTTTGGTTTGGTTTGGTTTGGTTTTTCAAGACAGGGTTTCTCTCTGTAGCCTTGGCTATAGACTTTAAGTTAGCAATCATCTAGACATTAAAAAATAAATCAAGACATCAAATCTCATCAGAGAACTAAAACACATTAAAAAGCCAATCTTAAAGCTGAAGTCTCAACATAGTGCATGATTTTCTGATAGTGTGTTTGTACATGTGTAACACGTCACTGCGTTTCGACAGGAGGCACAGACAGCTGGAAGACTGTCTTGAGCTACAGAGTCCTCGCGGCATTGTTCCTGTGCTTTTCAGGGCACCAGTCTTGCTTACGCTTGCTCCATTCTTTCTTGTAATTCAGCAAGTTTATGAAAGACATTTATTTTTGGATGTGAGCCTGTATCTTAGGCATTTATTTTTCTTAAAAAAGTATTCTTGCTCTAAGAATAAAAAAAAAAAGAAAGTCCTATCTTTTTTCATTTGCCATCAATAGCAACTTGTTAATTAAACTAAATAAAAAATGTAAATAAGCAAAACTATGTTTTTGCTGGAGGTTTATTTTGGATAAAATGGTTGAAGTTACAATGAGACAAAGTACTACAGGTCTAGAAAATAATTTAAGAGAGTAATTTAAATGTGCTTGTGCCCAGGCCCTCAAAAATGGGGGTAGCCTTCTGCCTACACCTCCCAGCAGATGCTTTTTTAACCAAAATAGGTAGGTTGGGTAACAAAACGAAGTTCCACTACAAAACAGCCCCCCACACACACCAAAAGTACCCTACTTACGTCAATACATCTTTTCTGCAAAATTAGTTATGCAGATGTGAAACATTCATGTCATCAAGTATAGAATGCTCTGTACTTAAACATCTGAATTGTGCAGTGACACCAACACTGCTCGCTCGTTCACCAGTTGTCAGCAAAGCAGTAAGTTTAATGTCATTTCATTGTTTCTTTTGTTTAACAGATGGTGATTTCCAAATTTTAGAAAACATACTACTCCACAGCCCAAAACAGCAAGAGTCTAGTCAAACTATGCCAACTGAAGAGGACACTATCTCCTGTCCTTTTTACCAGCTTTCCTCTTCCCAGAGAGTAAGTGCTTGGGCTTCATATCAAACACATGTCTATCAGCTTCCCCTTTCTTCCCCAAGCGATTCATCTTCTTCTGCGCTTT